AGTCTCTGTCGACAGATGGTCCACTTAATCGAGGGCATGTGGCCAAGTCTGAAGGAATGTCCACCAGTTGAAAGTGGGCTCTCTGCATGTGGGTCACCTAGAAGTGATAGGGGAAGTTTTTACCACCAGTTATGGAGTTAGTGGGCACACTTTCAAGAGGAAGCATGAGACAAAGCAGGAGCCTTGCTCTGTCGACAGAAGTTTTAAACAGTTGGTGGCCATGAAATAAACACAAGAAAAGGGAGATCGACAGATAGAAGTGGAGGTTTAGTATACTTGGAAAGCCTAGAAAGGAGATCGTTGGTTTCGATATCTGTATACTGCTTTTGTGGCCCATCATTGCATAATCCCACACGTATACACCATAACTGCCACTGTAACTGCCCTCTGACTTCGAATCTTCAAGTCCCCTTTGCCAAATATTGACTCTTCCTTGTCGACCTTCCTTTTCACCATTGTGGGGCATGTCCCTCATCATTATGAGTTAGTGGGCACACTTTCAAGAGGAAGCATGAGACAAAGCAGGAGCCTTGCTCTGTCGACAGAAGTTTCAAACAGTTGGTGGCCATGAAATAAACACAAGAAAAGGGAGATCGACAGATAGAAGTGGAGGTTTAGTATACTTGGAAAGCCTAGAAGGGAGATTGTTGGTTTCGATATCCGTATAGCGTTTTTGTGGCTCATCATTGTATGATCCCACACGTCTACACCATAACTGCCACTGTAACTGCCCCCTAACTTTGAATCTTCAAGTCACCTCTGCCAAATATTGACTCTTCCCTATCGACCTTCCTTTTCACCATTGTGGGGCATGTCCCTCGTCATTATGAATTATTGGGCACACTTTCAGGAGGAAGCATGAGACAAAGCAGGAGCCTTGCTCTGTCGACAGAAGTTTTAAACAGTTGGTGGCCATGAAATAAACACAAGAAAAGGGAGATCGACGTATAAAAGTGGAGGTTTAGTATACTTGGAAAGCCTAGAAGGGAGATCGTTGGTTTCGATATTCGTATACTGTTTCTGTGGCCTATCATTGCATGATCCTACACGTCTACACCATAACAGCCACTGTAACTGCCCCCTGACTTCGAATCTTCAAGTCCCCTCTGCCAAATATTGACTCTTCCCTGCCGACCTTCCTTTTCACCATTGTGGGGCATTTCCCTCATCATTATGAGACAAAAATCGACAGAATATTGTCCACTAAACACAACCACAATCGTTGCAAATTGGGCCACTGAACCACAACACTTGGCCACTCACTGTTACTGCCCCTGAATTTGAATCATCAAACTCTGCCAAATATTGAATTTTCCTTGTAATTTAATCAAAATATATTCAATGTCAGTAAACTTGTTAATATTTGAAATAACCTTTTTTCCTGGATTGTAATGACTTAAACACAATTGTTGTCCTACATTTTACATAACCAAAATACACAACTTATTTATATCGAAAACAAAATATACATCTCGGGTTTATAATCATAAAAATGGAAACTACTTTTTTTTAAAAAAAAAGTTCACTCATATTTTCAACTAAATTATGATTGGTTATTTTTAAAAAATTCCTCTTTGCACCTATTTTTCCCACATCCTGCCAACAGCTGCTCCATTCAATTGAGGACACATGGCAAGTCCACCTGAAGACAATGGTTATCAACTAACATTGAATCTTGCATGCCACCTGACTTACACGGTGGAGCAGTTACTGGCAGTGCTCATGGATTCAGTGGCCAGCCTCCAAGAGGAAACATGAACGAATTGGGACTTTGTATCTGTCGAGGAAAGGCTAAAAGGACTTGGGCACAAGTGGTAACTTCAATTATATGCACTTCGACAGGTACAAGTAAAGGTTCTATGTGGTTTCAAGACACGAAAATGACCATGCAGTTACAGAAGTTGCACAGAAGAAATTACAGAATCAGCAGATCATGGGGTCGTGGGAAATAATATCTATAAAGGGCAGAATGTTTGCAGAGAGAGAGGACATGAACAATAACACAACAACTTACTTTCTACATTGTAACTTCTGAGTAGTTTTTTCCCTTCTACTTTCTACTTTGTTACAAACAACACAACAACTCACTTTCTACTTTCTACTTTATACTTTCTACTTTGTTACTTTCTACTTTGTTACCATCAGTTCATCGAAAGAAGTCTTCATCCTTTTCAGGCATTCGAACCAATACCACAATTGCTTGATTTTCTTCTTTAACTTGTCAACTTCAAATTACTGCTTCGTTGCTGTCGATATAGGCCCACCATAATTTTACTAACAATAAACCCATCACTTTCATAGTTAACATGAAATAATTTCACAACTCCTGTTCGTAACTCGTAATTCATATAGCAATCGACATGAAGATAAAGTAACGAGTTCGTTGGGTTACTTTCTCCAAGTAACACCCAAAATTAACTGCCACTTGGATTATATACAAAATGCATGTGCTGGGATGTAATTTTGCAAACCCATGTGGACAAAATTCGTATTTTACTCAAAATAAAATACTAATTTACCAAAACTAGTCATAACAAATCAATACGAAGCCAAACACATCGTTAGTTGATAAACCACAATGCAAAAAACCCTTCAGTTAGATCCAACCAAATATGGAACAGAAACAAGCAACCAGCAATGGGAATCTTGGAATACAGACATAAGCCAATTTCCCACCCAAAACAATACACAGACAACCTATATATATCTCACATTCAATTAGTTTTCAAAATGACAAGTCACTGCAAACACAAATGACAACATCACTCTAAACAATATGGGAAATTTACAATTCGTGGCCTTGTACATAAGTAACATTGTGCCATTTCCTAGAATTGTATGTAACCAATTATTTACACGTTACGTACAGCAATCCGTGCAAAATGAAAACTACATACATTATTTACATGTGTTTTCAATAGCTAGTACTGTCTACCTAATAAATTAAGGGAATAAGTAAATCATACAAATCATACAATTACCTAATTCACCTCATCAATTGTGGTCGAATCATTTTTGCACACTACTACTTCAACATTACCGTATTGGCCCACAGGCAGCTTGGAATCAGGAGAAGCATCGAAAAATACATACATTATTTACATGTGTTTTCAATAGCTAGTACTGTCTATCTAATAAATTAAGGGAATAAGTAAATCATACAAATTATACAATTACCTGATTCACCTCATCAATTGTGGTCGAATCATTTTTGCACACTGCTACTTCAACATTACCGTATTGGCCAACAGGCAGCTTGGAATCAGGAGAAGCATCGAAAAATAGTCGTCGTTGCTTAATGCGTGGTGTACTTGGATCCACCAACCTGGTTTTGCAGCGAACGGGCAATGACTCCGCATTGTACTCACGGTCAATTATGCGGGTTGTATCTGCATCTGAGTTACTACCCACTGTTCGGCTAAACCGAACCTTAGGACACGTTCTCTTTGTGTGCCCAATGCATTTGTAATTCCCATATTTTCTTGGTCTTCGACAGTTGGACGTGGCCCGTCTCGGGTTCCCTTTTGTCTTCACAACATCAGGATCTTCTACTCCAAATTGTTGAGGGAATGAATGTTTCCCTTTGTCTCCATTCCCATCGTTCAGATTCCTCTCATATAACTCCTTCACCCGGCTCGTCATCGGAAGACATGCATCCCTAGCCTCTTTGAAACCTTTCGTTGATTGCGAGGCATAGAAACACATTTCATTGTAGGAAGAACTCAATATCCCATACCGGGCCGTTTGTGTTGCAGTGCTATCAATTGAGGGTTGAGGCCATTGCTGGCCATCCTTGCTTGCAACCCTTGTCCATCTATGCAGCACACAAGTTGGGGGAATTTGCGTTAAATTTTCGGCTTTCATAACACATATCATGTGACAGCAAGGTAGCTCCAACGACTCAAACTTCATGCAAGAACATCTCATTGCAGCATCCACTGGACTATGTGTTACTATTCATGATCTATCATTCACTTTGTACTTACAAATATAGTAGTATTTCTAACCATTCGGCAAAGGGAACACGTCCTTGACATTCAACTTCCTCTCTTCTAATATTTCATCACGGAACATTCTAAGTACATTTCGGGTGAATAGCTCAGCTCCATGTCTCTCTATATCTCGCAATGGAGTAATCAATACTAGAAAAGTGTTATTTGTTTCAACATCATCTCTAGCCTCGTTATACCTTATCCTTGCAAGAGCCCGATCATAGTGCCTAACAAATTCATATAGCTTCAATTTGTGTGGGAAGAAGGGATTGAAATAAGCATTCATACTCTCCGAGCGCTGAGTGCTCTTCATCCCAGCAAAGAAATGTCCACGCATATATGCCTTAGCCCACATATGACACTTCTCATATGTCTCTAACACCCAACTGTTAGTTTGAAGTCCAAATTTTTCGACCATTGTCATTCAGTCATGCTCAAACTTTGTCTCATCCGTTTCCATGTCCATGCACTGCTTGAAAGCATGTGCAAAGCCACTTTTGGGAACATTTGAAACAGCATTTTTCCTAATATGCCAATTACATAATCGATGTCTTGCGTTTGGAAATACTCTTCTGATTGCCTCTCGCTTCGCCTTATCCCTATCTGTCAGTACGGATATAGGTGTTTTATTGCCCATCGCCTCCATAAATGTTTCCAAAACCCATGTGTATGTATCAATTGTCTCATTAGCTAGCAAAACACATGCAGATATCGTGGTCCTAAAGTGGCTAGTCACACCAGCCAACATGACAAAAGGTTTCTTGTATGCATTGGTTCTGTAAGTTGAGTCAAATATCAACACATCACCAAACTTTGCATAGTCGGCCCGCGATTTTGAATCTACCCAGAATAGATTCTGTAACTTGTTATCGTTACACACATCATACTTGTAAAAAAAACGTGCATCAACATCAAGTTTTGCGCATAGGTAAACCAACGCACCCTGCGCATCACCATCCTCAACTTCTGCTCTACGTTCGGCTTGAATATGGTTGTGCAGATCCGTATGGATGAAACCAACATTCTCATAAGACCCAGATTGATTTACCATATAGTCCATGATTTGGCTAGCCTTCACACCGACGTTGCGCATAGCCTTTGCTTGAGCTTTGTCGGTGCTATTTAAACTGCGATGTGACCTCAGACACATCACACAGTGTTGTTCCACCAATTCATGGTTGTGGTCTTCGACGAAGTGAGTCACAACATACTTTCCCCCTTCACCAGCATTTGCATCGTACCGTATGCGAAATTGGGCTTTGCAACCTACTCTTGTTAGTGCCTTGGGGGAGCTCTACTTTTCTCATCAACACGGTCCAAGTATTTTGGTAATCTCTGACCTTCCCTTGAACACAACCACAGCCTACTAACAACCTTTCCCTCTTTATTTGTGTTAAATGTATTTTCGTATACTAAATCCCTTGGCTTTAGCATACGCATTGTAGAAAGCTTTTCCATCTTCAACCGAATCAAATTTCTGCTCCAGAATAGTACGTTCAACATCACCAACCATGTCATTGCGATGAGCATCGTCAACCATTTCTTTTTTCACATCAGCTCCACCATCTTCAACGTTCATGTTGGTTGCTTCTTCATTGCTCGGACCAGCTTCCTAACCATGATAAGGTTTCGCTCGACTTTCATTCATCAAACGAATGTCATCTGCTTCATTTGGAATGTCATAATCATCACCTTCCCTTTTAACTTCCGCTGGGGCCATACTGCACATGACATTAGTACAAACAATTACTTGATGACCGAAAAATGTTAACACAAACACAAACATGACATTTTCACACGGTTTAGTTGTTTGTGCAAACACAAACACTCACTTGAGAGGGAGAAAGGTTAGTTGCCAATGGAGGGGTTTTTGTTTGAGCGAAGCGTAGAGCGGTTGAAGTTAGGATGGGGGTTTAGTTGAGGGAAAATAGCTGAAGTGAAAAGGCCACAGAGAGAGAGAGGGAGACAGCTCCATACCTCATATCTAGTTGGAGAGAAGGGCTTCACTTCAGCAATGGAACCAACATAGCCTTGTAGTTCCGTTGTTGTTGGAAATCGCCCGTTATACTGTTCCCTACAGAGCTTCGTCAATGGAACCAACCCAGCAGGGGCTTCTCGCTGTTAATGGAAATCAAGGGTTACACTGACTCAACCTTACACAGAGAGAAGAACAGAGAGAGATAGAGATGAAATACAGAGAGTGAGTGGGATGCAATCATGCAAATACATGCATTAACAGGTTGCCATGGTTTCAACTTTTTCATGATTAAACAATTCAATGGTCTTTATCAATTATTGTAATCTAACGGCTAACAATTGGGTTGCATATGGTGTGCAAACTTAAGGGGGTTGTACACTTAAACAGCACCCAAGTTGATTATTAAATTGTGAATAGAATTGTAATTAATATTCATAAAAAAAGTGGAAAAAATTATAATATTAGTGTAGTTTTCAGCTATTTAAAAATAATTTGTTTACAATAGGACTTAAATATCTTAATAGAAAATTGATAGGATTTAATAGTTTTTCTTGGAAAAAATAAGACTTTAATTTTTTTTCTTTTTCTTCAAAAAATAACCAAGGGACTTATATGTACAATTGAACATAAATAATTCAGCTAAAATGTATAAACTATTATTTTAATTTTTTTTTTTTTATCAGGCTAGTAAATGAGTAAGATTATAAAGGCATCCAATATTAGACTTTGATCCTTTCCAATCCATATATATAATGGAAGATTTTCATTATATATCTAATGGTTATGAATTAAAAATAAAAATTTATAATTAATTTAAATTAGAAAAAATTATTACAGTCACAGATGATGGAATAAGACTTTTTCATTATAATATGAAATGGAGAGGATCACAATTCTCAAATATCAATCCCCACATATGAAACAAATATTGATTGCAACAGTGACTTTTTTGGGAGCAAATAAAAAATCAAGAAAAGAAATTGGATGAATCTGTTGTTCTTCACTAAGCGAATCATAGAGTACCTAACAACAAACTTACTCCATAATTAAATTAAGAAGTCTATTGTTCCAGACTCATTCACACAGATTTTTCTTAAATTTGAATTATAAGATGATAATTTTGAATAATTTTTTAACCGCTAAGCTTGGATTTGTAATATTATTATTATATTAATCTCACCCACACTCAATAAGTTTGGATTTGGTAGAATTTTTTTTATTGTAAAAGCTGATAAAAGCAGAAGTTAAAAACAATCCTTTTCCATTTTTTGAATGATCAGTTTTGTCTGATATACTGTAAGTAGAAACTGTAGTAAATAGTATGACACATGCTTTCAAATTATGTTCTATTTGTTTCGGCAAAAGATATATTTTTAAAATATTTTTCGCATTTTTTGGTGTTTGATACGATGGAAAACAAAGTCAATGGAAAAAAATTTGCATGATTAATGGAAAACAAATGGAATATATTTTTGGCTTTAAAAAGTTAAAAAAATGTTTTCCAAACTAAACTTTTACCAATACCATGACATTGCCACCACTACCATCGCCTCCACCACGACATCGCCACCACCTCCACCCTATCACAACTGCCACCGCCCCCACCACCTCCACCATTACCTGCTCCTCCTCTACCCACTGCCATCACTACCACCACTGCTAATGCAACTATTGTTGGAAAATAGCTTTTGTAAAACCTTATTTTTTTGTTAACTTTGAGTATTAATTAATATGAGACCCAAGATACCATGACATTGCCACCACTACCATCGCCTCCACCACGACACCGCCACCACCTCCACCCTATCACAACTGCCACCGCCACCACAACCCCACCACCTCCACCATTACCTGCTCCTCCTCTACCCGCTGCCGTCACTACCACCACTGCTAATGCAACTATTGTTGGAAAATAGCTTTTGTAAAACCTTATTTTTTTATTAACTTTGAGTATTAATTAATATGAGACCCAAGCATTACTTTTAATGTTACTAATTGGGTTCATGTTCAATGCCGCGTAGTGAATAATATCGTGTATTTGGTTATTCTAAATCATTTCTGGATGAATGAGAATTCAACACGCATTTTCGGGTTCGTGGAAATGGCTTTAGGTGGGTTTCCTACACATTTGTGAAATGTGTTTGTCCCACATTAGAAAAGCTTAAAGATTTGTATGAGTTTATATACTATAGCTTGGAATACTTGGGATGGGCCCCAAGGGGTATCTAAGTTTGTGGAAGGGTAAGGTTATGGGTAAAGTGGGTTAAACCCATTGGACCCAAAACAAAAACCACACGCGCATTATCGCCGCTGACCGTCCAATTGGGTTGGGCTTATTCAGTCTAATACTTATCTTTTTGGGCAAAAAACATTTGTAATTTATTTTATTTATTTTTAATTTTAGTTTCAAAATTCAAAATAAATTTGTCCATTTTTTTTTTTGTCCACCCAAACAGGTTTTACTTCACGTAAAGAGGTTGAAATTTAAACTGAACAGATCTGTTTCTGTCCAAATAGGTTTTCCACCTGTTGAATCCAACCGAATAGGTTTTCTACTTGTTGAATCTGTCCGAACAGGTTCCTATCTGTTAGCACCTGTTCGGAAAAGTCACAAGTTCTCCTTTTTATACCCTGTCATTCCGGCATTTCTTGGCATCGAAATTTTCCCAAACACTTCCCTTTCTTCTTCTGTTCGTCCTCCTATACTCTTGCATCTGTTTAACATTTAGTTTCTAGGAAAAGAAAGAAAAAGAGTTACAACATAGTTTGGTTCACAAGACTTGATTTTGTAGTGCTGCAAATCAAGTAGTAGACGTCATTAAAACTCGAAGCACCGGAGCGAGGGCGAAATCTACTTTAATGTTGTGTTTGGTTGGGGGATTTGAGGAGAGATTTGGAAAGGGAAATGGAAAAGGTAGGTAAAATGTGAATAAAATATACCTATATTTCACCTAGTTTCACGCATCTTTTCCCTTTCCTTTTCCAAATCCCTCATCAAATCCTCCAACCAAACACAGCGTAAGGAGATTGTATCAAACACAAGTCTCGACTTATATTTTCTGTAAGTAATTGATTCATAATTTAATTTATATAATTATTTTCTGAATTAATTATTTTTTATTTTGTTATTTATTTTATTTGCATTTATTTACACGTACACACATTCACTATGAGAATAACAACTATTAGTGTATTAATTTAAAGAACATAACCAAACATAGGAAAATATTTTCTATTAAAAAATATTTGTTGCCAAAACAAACAAACCGTAAAACAAGATATAATGACTCCATAAAAGTAGTAACAAACCGTCCTAATATTGATTTTAATTTTTCATGTGATTGGATAGTATTTATGAACTGAATTATAACATGGCAATATTTTTTATTTATTAATTAGAGGTATCACTATACTTGATATTTAGTCCGCGTATGGATATATGGATATATGCATGTGTGAAACTATAAAAAATTCGACACATCCATCAAATAGTTCGTAATTTGAACTTTATTTCTTTTAATTAAAAGGTATTGCATTAAATATTAAATAAGTTAGTGCACATTGTTCCTCCCAAATTCAATGCCAATTGATTCGTAATGAGGTTACGGTGATATCACACGTATTAATTAGTGAATCAATTAGTATATCAATTAGTGTTATGACATTATTATAAATTTCACATATTATACAAATTATAAATATTCAAAACTTTTAAAATTATATCATATCATCTGTTAGTATACTAGTTAGTATATACATATAGCATTATTCATAAGATTAAGTTATTTACGGACCTTATCTAAATAGCCTGTTTACGGTCACCTAATCAGAAAATGACACCTCATAAAAATTGTAACTTTCACCATCAACACGCACATGTACCTGATCATCTCCTTGGTCTTCCCTGATCTGTGCGTCCCATTCTTTCTCTCTCTACAGAATCTGTTTCATTGCCATCTCCCTTGTGATAAAAAGGGGTTTTCGTTATCCAAACACGACAAGAAAATATATATTTGGTGACTAAATTTTTAGTTATTAAAAGTTAATTTTTAATCGCCAAAAATCGGTTTTTAAGTTTTCTCGACTAAATTTTTTTGTCGCCGGTTTGGTCGCTG